TCGCCTTCACTGCTCAGCACGAGCGGCTGGCGGTGCTGTGCGAGTGCACGAACGTCGTCACTCTGCACGCCTTCGACATGGCGGACGGCAGCGTTGGCCCGGCTCTGCACACGTGTGCGAGCTTCGAGTCGATGCCTCGCAGCGTCGGCTGCGGCATCGCGCGCTCCCTCGCGTCGCTGCTTCCCACCAAGGTGGCGCTGCTGGCCGCCCTCCCCTTCGGCCTCGCCGCCGCGGCAGAGGTCGCCCTCCACCCGCCGAGCGGGCGGCTGCTCGTGACCACTAGAGGCGTGCCACGAGGCGGCTCGCTCCGCGGACTCGACCCGCAAAGTCTCGCCTCGCTGCAGGACATCGCGGCGGGCGACTCGCCACGCTCGTTTACCTTTGATCGCGCGGGCAGCACACTCATCGCTTGTGTCAAGGGCGGGCTCGAGACCTATCGGGTGGCGCCGGACGGCGAGGTGTCGAGCCGCACGGTCAGCGGCCTCCCGGAGGGGCTGCACGGGCTCGAGGTGGACTGCGTGGAATGTGTTGAGAGAAGCGCATGAAGAGGCAGGTTTTCACTCGTCAGGTTACGACACCTGGGGGCGGGCGCCCGCGCGCGGCGCGTGTGCGTTGTATAATACTGTACCCTCCGATAAAGGGTTTTTCCATCACCATGAGATACTCTCTAGAGTGTATATTTACATATACAATGTACCATCTCGACCGCGTCGTCCTCCGGCGGAAGCTCCGCGTCGCCCGCGGCGGCTTCCCGAGCGCGCTCGTCGCGCATCCGCTCGTGGTGGGCCTGCCGACGCGCCACGCCGGCGCCCGTGTGCCTCGCCGCCGCGTCCGGTGACGGCATCGATGCTGTCCGCACGAGCGTGACTCGCCACTCAACGACCTCCACGACCTCCACGACCGCCGAAAAGTTCTCCCACTCGCCCTGCCCCAATCTCGAACAAATCTCGAGTCCTCTCACTAGTTACATACATACCTCTTTTCAGGCGCGTTAGTTTTCAGCATCGATCATGAAAACGCGTCTATCTAAGTAATGGACGCTCTCGAATGTACTGAGAGTAGTATGCCCGCCCACGCAGCTCTGGCGGCGCGCGGCCTTTAGAGTGCTGCGGCCTTGTTTCGCCCTGCGCGACAGACAGAGAAGCGGCGGGGCGAAAAGGCGGAAATGTAACAAGCGAAGGTGGAGGTCGTCGCCGTGGCCCGATACGCTCGAGGCCATCGGTGGGCGCGGTCGGAGCGGGCCCGCATCACGGCTGTCCGCTCAAAATCGTCCGCACCTTGAGCTAGTGTGCTTCCCAAACGGCGGACGGCTGTCTCTATCCCGCAGTGCTCAAGTGCTCAAGCTGCCGAGCTTTGTGTTCCAAAATTCTTTTCTCTCTTCTTTATTATGTTCTTTTTTCCTGGGTGTACCTGTGTTAGTGCCAGTGCGCGCCAGTAAGCCCAGTGTCGTGCCGTCGCAAAATTCTTTTTTCTTCGGCCGACAGGACAAATGCTGGGCTCTCTGTCGCTCGACATGGACTGAAATGCGCTTGACTCATACTGAGAGACGGGCAGGAGGAGAGGACAGATCCACAAACGAGAAGGCTCCAGCGCCACAGCTTACTGAAGACTCGAGGGCTCGTGTGACTGTCACGAGTGTCGTGTGCTGCACAGCACCACACACCGTCATGTATGTATGTAGCCCGAAGCAGCGCCTACTGAGAGGAAATATCCCCAGCCAGAGCAAGGACCATGCACTCGTACTGAACGTGAGGGGAGAGGGAGATCAGGGCCAGGGGGCTGAGAAGCACACCCCCCTGGCCGGATGATCGGGATCGGGACGGGCAAGAGAGCCCGGTATGACGAGCTTTTTTTTGCGAGCCAAAATGCGGGTCTCGCTGCCGCGCCGAGGCTTCTTGGCGCGTTTGTCTCGCCGTTGGTGCTCTGGCACTGCAGTGCCACGCGACTGCTACGCCGAGCTCGACGTGCCACGAGCCTTCGCCGTCGATGCCGCAGCACTCCGCACCACGTACCGACGACTGATGGCGGTGTGCTTGACTCAGCCGGGTTTCAGGTGCTGGCCAACGTGCTTGACTGCTCCGATGCGCGCTCTAGGAGCATCACCCCGACCGGCACACGCTCGGCGGAGAGCAGGAGCAGCAGGAGGCCGCCAACCGCTCTGCTCGCATCACTCACGCCTACAGCACGCTCGTCCGGCCGCATCGCCGCGCTGAGCACCTGCTCGAGGCGCGAGGCGCAGCGAGAGCCCCGCGGCAGCCTCGCAGACGCGCGAGCAAATGCGCCCGCCTGTTATCCACTCCGTGCCCGCCTGTTATCCTCTCCCCTCCCCGCTCACAGCTGCTGGGCGCACCGCTGAGTGACGAAGCGGCGGGCGAAGTGGTCTTGGACGATGGCTTCCTGGCGCAGGCGAGGGCGTGCGGGAAAAAGGCCGCCGCCAAGAGGCCACTGCTCTATCCTGTAGACCGGGTGGCTCACACTAGGTGATGGAGGCGCGCTTCGAGATCGAGGACCCCGACACGTCTGTTGCGCGGCTTGGCGAGCGTTGAGTCTCTCGCAGCACGCTGCACCGTCGCGGCGCGCGACGATCGCCGCGTTCGAACTAGGCGCGATGCGGGAGAGCAACAGCAGTGCCATCGATGAGGTGTGTGATCAGCTCGGAGCGGCGTTCGACTCTCGCGACGCCGGCGCCGACCTGAGCGAGGCTTCTTGCTGCAGAGGGCTGCGCGAGGACCCTTCGCGGTCGCCAGCCACGTCCCATACTTTTGCTAGGCGCGCTTGTTGACGGCGCGTCTCAAATACCTGCAGGTGCCGCGCTGTCAGCCTCTTGCACTCACCAATCCCATACGCCCGATCACGCATGAGTCTTCACACGCCTTGCTGCTCGCAGCGAATCGAGGAGGCCGTCTCGGAGCGCACCGACACGTAAACGGTCCGCTCAGACCTCGAGCCGCACAATTCAAAGCCGGTCGAGCCGGCAGGGTGTGTTGTTTTGAACCCTCTTACGCGAAAGTATGTGTAACGTGATAGGACCGCCTCTCTCTGCGCTGTATGGCGCCCCTGGCCCTGCGCGCCGAGGCGTGCGTCTGCGTGCCCCGGTGGAGCTGGAGCGCCAGCGGAAACATCACCTGCACATGGGTAAAAAATAACACGGCACATCAAACAACACACCGACATCAAACAACACACCGACACGGCACCAGAATCCAGATCCCTGCGTGCTGCGGCCTGCGCGCCTGGTGGTGGGTGCACTCAAACAATCGGGGACTCGCTCCGGTTTATATCCAAACGACTCTTGAACCCAAATGCATATGTGACATGAGTGAATGTAGTCTAGGAAGCACTGTATCAAAAACAAGCAAGATGTGTGAATGTACCCCGAGTGGAGCGACTCTTAGCGGCGCCCAAAGACGACACGTGGAAGACGAAAATTGACATGGCCTTGGCCCTTGCTAGTTGCATTGCCCAGTGCCGTCACTGTACCTCGGGCTTGGTTCGGCCCCACTTGCGCACAAAATGCAGTCTCTGTACCCAACGGGTTCGGGATAGAAGCCACATTCAGCGCACGATGGATGACACTCACAAGTCGGGTGATGCATCCTGATTCGATAGTGCGCCTCCGAGATGTAGCACTTGCCTCCCTTCGTCGGAGATATGTAAGAACCAGCTGTAGGTGCAAGCGACTTGATCTTGTCCTTCAGGCTTGCGGGACTCCTGAGATAGCTCCCCAGCCCCAAGAGCCTTTCACAGGCCTCTTGAAGATTGCTCAAGATGGTTGGTGGGGCAGGAGGTGGCGGGGGTGGACGGACAGGCAGGAACCGAACGACGAAGAATGACTTCAGAAAAAGGGAGCGGGTGGGGTGGGTGTTCTCTCTAGGCCCCTCAAAGGCCCTACGCGCGGAGTGAGAGCTCGGAAGCGAGCTTTGCACGGCGATCGAGGATGGCGCGGTTCACCCCCTTCACCGATAGTTGTATGGGTAGACGCGAGACAGGAGATGCTACCCTCGTTTAGTTTCTTTTGGTGTACCTGTGTTAGTGCCAGTGCGAGCCAGTCCCGTGCCCAGTGTTGTGCGAGGGAGTTTTGTTGTAAAATTCTTTTGAAGAGAGAACACCGGTCCCAGTGTGATGATGGGAAGGGTGGTGCGGTGATCTCAGGCCCAGTGAGGCAGTGCATCCGACTAACCCGGAACAAAACCCTCTTGTAGCTTGATCGGTCACACCGCCATCGCCGCCGACGTCTCCCACACAAACCCAATGTGTTTGCATGCGTCGGTCCTCTCGCTCAGTTTCCCGCGGCTCATCTCTCTGCACGAACGGCCAGGCTACTTTGTTCCGTTGGCAACGCTCCCATCCCACGCGGCAGCGGGGCTGGCATCGGCGAACACAAGCGATGGTCGCACCCTCTTGGTGCTTGCCAACTTTTGGGGCGGCAACTCTCACGTCTTTGCCTTTGCCGGTGGAGCGTTGACGAAGCTGCAGGAGCTACCGACCGACATGGCCCACGACTGGGAAATCGCACGCCTCTCCGACGGCCGCACACACGCCATCGTAGCCAACTACGGGGGCGCAGTCTCCACCGTCTACCAGCTGAGCGACCCGCGGGTTCCGCCGCCGGAGCCTCTGCCGCCGCCGCCGTGCAGCGATCAGCACGCCGCATGCCGCGACTGGCAAACAGCCGGCGAGTGCGAGCACAACCCCACCTTTATGCGCGAGCAGTGCCAGCAGAGCTGCGGCAGCTGCGCCGCGCCTGGAGCAGGCCCGTTCGTGCCCGTGCAGCTGCTGCCGACCGAAGCGGCGTCGGCCGCGCACCACTTTGTCGTGCGCACCGCCGGTGGCCCGAGCCGAGACTTCTTGCTCGTGGCGCAGCGCCGCGTCGCCCTCTTTGAGTTTGACCCGCAAGCGGCGCAGTGGCGGCTCTTCTTGCAGACCAACGCGACCGGCATCTGCGAGTTCGCCAGCTGCGAGGCGCCCAGCGGGGAGGCGGTGCTCGTGTTTGCCCAGTGGCACGCGGGCGGCACCTTCCGCACCGCCAGCTCAGTCTATGCTTTCGATCCGGCAGCCTCCCAGCCGCTGCAGCTGCTGCAGGAGCTGCCGACGCTCGGGGCGCACGACGCCGAGTGCTTCACAGTCGAGGGAGGGGAGGGGAGCGAGACGCTGCTCGCGATCGCAAACGTGCGCGACGACGCCTCGCAGCGCGTCTCTTCCGCCATCTACCGCCTCGACGGACGAGCACTCGTCGAGGCGCAGCGGCTCGACACCGTCGGCGCGCACGATCTCGAGCCTCTCTGGGCGGGCGGCCGGCGGCTGCTCGCCGTCGCAAACCAGGGCGACGGAACCTCCTGCAACGCCTCGGTGGACGTGTACGCGCACGCGCCCCGCGGGTGGGAGCTGCTCCAGTCCCTCCCGACCGGCTGCTGCGTGTACGTCCACTCCTTCCGCGACAGGGGGCGCCTCCTCCTCGGCGCGGCGGTGGAGCGAATCGGCTCCGAGCCCGCGCAAGCTGACACGTACCGCACAGACTCACTCGTGTTTGAGTGGATAGAGCAGACGTACTAGCACAGTCCGTCACAGAGCAAACCCAGCGACAATGGGGACGCGCGCACTTGTGCGCGTCCGAGCCGTTGTCAGAGCGCCCTCTTCTCTCGGATCTCGCGGTTGCCGGTTCTCGCGCGCGTGCATGTGCACGTGCATGTATGCCATGTGGTTCCGCGATCCGCGTGACTGTTCTCAGAGTCCGCGCGTCTCTGCGTGTCGGTGTGTGTGGGTGTGTGCGCGCGCGCTCGTCGCTCTCGAGGTCGAGGCGAAGCGAGAGAGAGTGTTTTTATGTTTTACTCTCTTTTTCGGTACGGCTTTATTCCCCAGTTCGCACTCTGCTCGCTCTCTCTACTTTGTGAACTCAGACTTTATTTGCTACTAGTTTTTGCATTGCCGGGTCGCAGCGACACACCGAGCGTGGATCTCTGGGAAGCTCCGCGCGTAGTCGTGCAACAGTTCTTCCCCCGCCCTCACGGGTCGCAGAGTGCGGAACGAGTTGAAAGCTGAGCCCTCGTAGTTCACTAGCTCGAGGTTGGGCTGTTCGCCGCTGTGGTTCACAAACCAAGACGCGTCGAGGACCGCCGTCCCACACGCGTGGATGCCGTAGACGCGAGCGCCGCTCTGCGTGCGGAAAGGCCGCTTGGCGTCCTCCGGGTCGTCGATCGGCGCGAAAAAGTCGAGGGTGTGCTCTCGTACTAATGCCGGGAGCGCATCGAGCTCGTTCTCCGTCACTAGAACGGATGTATCCGGCGTGCAAAGGTGCGCGTTTGCGGGACGGAACGGGTCGATGCCACTGGGTATGTCACGAAGCGCAACGACACCAACGCCAGCCACCCTGGATGGGGCCAGCTTCACGTACGTCTCGTCGGCGAGGTGGCGCAGCAGCGCTCGCTTCAGCGCGTGGGCTCGACGGGCGGCACCCTGGGCGCTTCGCGGCCAGGCCATGTCACACAGGCACTGATCTGCAGCCGAAACAAACCGCGCCACGAGACAGACACCACAAGTCTGTTTTCTTTCTTTCTTTCTTAGGACACCAAAAGGAGGAGAGCGAACAGCCAGCGAGGGTGTGATCTGAGACAGACCTCCTCATACCTCGCTATTCGACGGCCGGCCAACTTTTCAGTGTAGTGTACTTTTCAGTGTATGTAGCTCTTACGTACATTCCCGTAGGAGACTCTGCTGACAGGGTTTGCGACGAGGAGCGACCCGAAGGGTTTCTCGGAGGTTAGTGCACCACTAACCGCCGAAGCGCAAGCGCTGGGAGCAAGAACACTACGACCTGGGTCGGGCTCATACTAGCACCCCACCTCGCGAGCCTTTTCGCTTATTCGGGAGACAATTTGAACTGTTTATTCATCGTTCAACGTAGAAATTTATTTCTGTAGTGTAACCCACTCCCAAGATTAATTTCGCGCACGTCTACTCTTGGCCGAGGAGAGCGGTCTGCCTCCACCACAAATGCCCGAGCTCAATACTGGATGGATTGCCGACGGGCAAGCCTCATTGGCGCCCCCCCCCCTAAGCAGCCCGTCGATGCAAGTGGCTCGCGCGGCCACGGCCGCAACGACGCGTCGCCGGCGGCGCTCACTCGAGCCCGAGCCCTTCGCGATGGCAACGCCAGGTTGTCGCGTCCGCCCCGCTAGCACTTTAGCACGCCTCCCGCATACCGACGACAGCATCGCACGCGGCGTCCACCGGCGGGGGAGCAATGGAGGAGCGGTCAGCAGTCTCGACCTTCCGACCCGCCTCTGTCCTTCGTGCACAGGTACTGAGCACATCCTACTCTCGCTGCTGGCTGTCCACACAGCCAGACCTAGAAACCTGCCCACACATCGGGTCACTGCCCCCTCTCTGCCCATCGCCCCACTGGCCCCTTCCCCACGGCCCTCGCTTCGCCCTGCACAGAGCCTCCCCGACGGAATGAAGAAACACCAGGGGTGAGGAACCACCCCGACCAAACCGACGGCGCGTCGGGGCCCCAGACCTAGAAACCTGCCCACACATCGGGTCACTGCCCCCTCTCTGCCCATCGCCCCACTGGCCCCTTCCCCACGGCCCTCGCTTCGCCCTGCACAGAGCCTCCCCGACGGAATGAAGAAACACCAGGGGTGAGGAACCACCCCGACCAAACCGACGGCGCGTCGTGGCCAGCGCTCTCAAATGCGCCCCAAACTGTCCTGCCATTCTCCACGCCGACCGCCGCCCAGCAGCCAGAGCTGGCAGAAGCCGACGTGGCCGACGTGCAGCCGATGCAGATCGACCCGCCGGGCTCCGGATGCAACCTTGCCGTCGCCCCCTGCTCCACCGCCGCTCCCGCCCACCACGCCGCCGTTGCATTCGTCGAGCCGGCTGCACCTCGGCGTTCTCCCCGGCTACGACGCAGCGATTGTGATGGTATCATTTCGCATGCTGACGTTCACGACCCGCCGGGCTCCAGTTGCACCCCCGCCGCTTCGCCGCCCGTCGCCAGGCCCGACGCACCCGCCGACCACGCCGCCGCTGCATCCGCCTCTTCCGCTGCCGCTTGCCCGGTCTTGGCCGTTGCTTTCCCCACCGTTTCGCCGCCCGTCGCCAGCCCCGCCGCACCCACTCCCTCCTCCGCCGCCGTTGTTTCGCAAGCTGGTGGCGTGCAGCTGATCCACTCCGCGAGGTCAGCCACTGGGTACATGGGCGTGTGCGGCGTGTCAGGCGGGAAGTTCATGGCGCGCGTCACTCGCCAAGGCCAGAAGGTGAGCTTGGGCGTGTAGCAGCCGCTCGTGGGCGTCGCCGCCAGCTACCTCACCGAGACGGAGACCGAGCGGGCCTACCTCGAGGAGCGCGCCGGCCTGTGCTTCCACTTTGTGGAAGGCGCGCCCGCGAGCATCACCTCCAACATCGAGACGGGGCGCGGTCTCGTCAACGGCTGCGACGCCGAGCTGCACTCGCTCACGCTCGCTGGAGACACCACACTCGACAACTGCCTCGCCAACACGGTGTGGAACGACCAGTACGGCATCTGGGAGGTGCAGATCGAGCCGCCGCTCTCCGTCAACGCGATCCCCGACGTGTCCGACGAGGCGCGACAGACGCTGCTGGCGCGTGGCGCGTCGCTCTTCGATGAGGAGCTCATCGTGCCAGTGCTGGTTGGCAAGGCGTCGTCAACGTACGCGCCGACGAGCTCGTGGGCGGCGCGGGTGGGCGTGCCCAAAGAGCTGCGCATCAACAAGCACCAGATCGATCTGGCGTTCGCCGTGACAGACTACAAGGTGAGTGGGTGCCCAAGCCGTCGCGCCGCCCACATTAGCAACCAACCAAGCCAATCTTCCGCTCGCTGCAGGTGCAGGGCAAGACGCTCGATTACTTCATCGTGAGCCTCGGCAAGCGCGGCGCCGGCGTCTACCCGAAGCTCAAGCTGGTCGACTTGCACGTGCTCGTCTCGCGAGTTCGCCTTGGTGCTCGCCTCTTCGTGATCGGCCTTAACCCCAACGACGTGGACCACCTGCGCCAGCTACGGCCGTCGGAGGTGCTGGGCATCTGGGAGCACGGCTACAACCAGATCACGGAGATGTGGGAGCCGGAGCTCGCGGCCGCCTACGCCGCGGAGCGCGTCGCATCGCGGCGGGCCGCCGAGGCCAAGGGCCGCAAGCGAAAGCGGCCCGCCGGCGCGTGACCGCACTTGGGGGCCGCGCCATTGCAGCTGTGTCATGATAGATAGATAGATCATAGAAAGCATGAAGCATGTGCATGACGTCATGATAGAAGCATAAAGCATGTCAAAAGGAATTCACAACGAAGAGGACCTCGTAAGAGCTACATACACTGAAAAAGAAACTACGTTGGACATGCGGACACTTTTATCTTGATTGTGGCCGTTCGCGCGGCGGCGGCATCGAGCCGTGTACCCCGCCTCTTGACAACCGAAGGGGCGAGCGAATCAGAGCCATGAGCGGGCAGGCCTTTATTGTCGTTGACCCAGTGTCCACGGGAGGCGTCGTGGCCGTCGAAGCCATGCAGCGGGGCTACTCCGTGATCATCGCGTGGAGTGAGGAGTGCTCGGAGGACATGCGGGCGCACGTGCCCGACGTCTGCAAGGGCATCAAGTATCACGCCGAAGTGGAGGAGAAGTCGACCATCCCCCAAACAGCCGCGGCGGTCAAAGCGGCGGCCGGCGGGATGCCGATTGCGGCGTGCATCGTCGGCGCCGAGACAGGAGTCACCTTGGCCGACAAGCTGAGTCTCGAGCTCGGAGTCCGAAGCAACGGCATCTTCCCGCTCGGTGACCGCCGCAACAAGGCGCCGCCGCCCTATCGCGCTGACACTCGCCCTCTGCAGCCGCCACCGTCACCGCCGCGCCCCCACCTCCCGGCAGAGCGTCCAGCAGCGGGCCGTCAAGGCGACGGGCCTCCGCGCGGTGCGGGAGGCGCTCGGCACGACTTGGACCGAGGTGAAGGACTTTGTCGCGACCGAGTCTATGCCGGTGGTGGTCAAGCCGGTCGAGAGCGCTGGCTCCGACGGCGTCAAGCTCTGCCACACGGTGGAGGAGGCCAAGGCCCACTTCACGCTCCTCATGGAGTCGCAGCGCAAGTGCGGGGCGCAGGGCGCGGCGGTGCTCTGCCAAGAGTTCCTCAAGGGCAAGGCGCCTCACCCGCCCTCTCGAGCCGTCGCGGCCCTCCCAGACCCCGCCCAGCGTCCCACGCACACTCCGCGCAGGAGTACGTAGTCGATTGCGTCTCTCGCGGCGGTGTGCACAAGGTCATCATGGTTTGGGTCTACGACAAGTCTTGCCCCTAGATACTGAAACCCAAGCCTCTTGAAACCCCAAGTCTCTGTGTTCCCGCGATGTTCTGACTGCCCTGCGCCGTGCCGCGTCCATGCCCCTCATGTCCCCGGACTTCATACCCTAGGCGGCCGACGAACGGCTCCGCCTTCGTCTACTACGGCATGATCCCTGTGGAGTCGAGCTCGGAGGTGGCGCAGGTGCTGATCAAGTACACGCTCGGCGTGCTCAAGGCGCTCAAGCTCGACAACGGGCCGACGCACGGTGAGGTGATGATGACGGCGGATGGGCCGTGCATGGTCGAGATGAACTGCCGCTCGCACGGGTGGGACGGCTCGTGGGTGCCGCTCGAGAAGCTGCTGACGGGAGGGTACTCGCAACCCGACGTCGCCGTCAGCTCGCACGTCGACGGGCCTGCGTTCGACAAGATTCCGGCCGTTTACCCAAAGTTCAAGGCCGCGGGTCAGACGGCTCGAATCTTCACCCCTCCTTGGTGGCGCGAAGGGTTGAATGGCGTCTCTTCACGCCTGCACATCGTGTGAACAGGTGATGCTTGTCTCCTTCTTCCGCGGCGCCGTCCGCTCGATGCCCGGCTATGAAAAAATGAAGCGGCTCGCACCCTTCCTTTGCGTGATATAAGCGACGCTGTGAGGAGATGCCGTTCACATCGTGGGAGCGTGAAGCGTAGGCTCGCTTCCTTCGTCGCGCTGCAGACGCCCATCGGCGTCGGATCAAAGGCGCGGCTCACCTTCGGCCTGTTCTGTACCGCCGTAAACAGCTCCTGAACAGCATCTCAGATTTGCAGCTTAAACAGGTGGAGCTCACCGTCGACCTCTTCACCGCCGTCGGCGTGCTCATCCTCGCCAACCCGGACGCGAAGCAGCTCGAGGCGGATTTGGCGACGGTGCGGAAGATGGAGAAGGAGGGCCTTTTCACGTTCGACGAGGAGATCGACCCCGTGCAGGCCGATGATATGGTCGATATGCTCCCCGGCCGCCGCCTCACCGAGTACAGCGACGCCAGCCGTCTCTCCGGTCGGATCTCTGGGGCGGGCGCCTACAAGGCGTCCGCGGGGGGGCCGCCCACGAACGAGACGCTCTTCGCCGTCGCCGGCGCCGCGTTTGCCGCCGGCGCGCTCATTGGCCTGCTCGCGGCCAAGGCAGTGAAGTGAACGTGAAGGTGTTGACAGAGTGGGATAACTCGCGCCCGGGTCGGGGGATGATCGTCGGACGTGGTGTGGGTGTGCTCGTGTAGCGCTCAGTGTGTGCAGTGTGTGCAGTCGAGGAGACCGAGGAGCAGCAATGCTTGAGGTCGAGCGGAGAGACGCTGGAGAGAAGTTGAGCGCCCCTTGCTGTCTTGGAGAGGCAGTCTGATGTGTGTGCTTGCCTGTATGTGCGTGTCTGACTCTCGGGGGGAAGTTTCTTGCAAACCTCGTTGCTGCGAGGCGCTTAGACTCTTCCCTGCCTTCGGGCACCTTCTCAATGTCGCGCAGCGAGCCAACCTCGCCGAAGCGCTCCCGCACCGACGAGACGACCGACGTCGTCTATCCGACGGGCACCTTCAAGGCGCGCGCGCCCGCAGTGCACGCGTGCCGCTCACACGACAAAAAGCGCCTGTGCACAGACCAAGTACACAGCTCCACCAGAGCCCACCTACACCCCAACGCCCGCCACTGTCCTCACCGAACAGACCCCGAGATGACGACCGGCACGCGGAAGAGGAAACAGCCGCGGCGAGACAAAAGAGAGGAGCCCTGCTCTCTCTCTCTCTCTCGCTCGCTCGCTCGCTTGCTGCACTGCACACGCACCACGCACCCACGCGCCCGCGACGCTCCGCGAGCCCGATTCGAACCCGGGTCCAGCCGCCCAAAACCGAGCCCCGAACCGCCGCGCCACGCGGCTCTCCTGCAAGCCTCACGCCTGGCAACTCATATACCTTCCACCCTGAATGTGCCAGGACATGAACCTCGACGTCCCCGACGCGCCCCTCAAGGAGAAGATGCTGGTGATGAAGGCCGGCAACGGCATCAACGCCGAGCACGTCGCCACGATCGTCTCCGCGATGTTCATCGAGGCGGGCCACGACGAGTTCGACCACAAACTCACTCTGCAGCATGGCAGGAACTCTACTTTCTACCTCCTCGGCGAGCTTCAGGACGGATCCACGTTCGAGTCCATGGCCTCTTCCATCGCCACCATCGGGGTCACGACGACGATCGACTCCGACTTCGTCGAGAAGTTTCTGGGAGGCGGATAGCCAAACCACTCGGCCCTCGGTTTCTTTTCTTCTCTTCTCACCCTCTTCCCCTCCTCCCCCCCTCCTTCCCCCCCTTACCACAGGGGACCCCAACGACATCCCGGACGGCGGCACGATCGTCTTCTCGGTCGCCGATGTCGACGACGCCGTGGACGACTCGGTCCCCGTCAAGATCGACCGCAACAAGCCCGACCCCTACGACATCCACCTGCGCCTGTCCGCCCCGCCCCAGCCGGGCGCCCTTCTCGGGACCATCGACGAGGGCGAGGTCCACAACACGCTCGTGCGCGAGTTCAAGGTGCCGCGCGGCTGCTCGCTCGGGATCGCCAACCTGCGCAAGAACGTGATCAAGGCGTTCGGGGGCGAGGCCCTTCAGCTTTCCTCCCAGACGTACTACGTTGAGATCCACGTCGTCCGCGGCGGAATCAAACAGGAACGCCCATACTCTCCACCCACTAATACTTTCACTCCGCCACACCCACAAACAGCCGAATCACACCATACCCACAAATAGCCGAACCCATCCCCTACTCACAAAGTACCGAACCCACGCGCAGGACCCCATCATCATCGCAAAGCCCCCCAAGATGATCACGACGGGCTACGGCGCCAAGCTCATGGTCGAGATCCTCCCGCAGATCCGGGCAAGGTGCGTCCCCGCCGTCAAATGGGCCATGGACCAGTCCAAATCCTCGGAGGAGGGGACGCTGATCTACTTCGAGCGCGTCTCCGCCCCAGGCCGAGGCGAGACCTACCAGTCCGCGAGCGAGTTCCTGCAGAAAGGGCTGTACGACCTCTGTGACACCTACGGCATCGCGATGGCCTACCGCAACGGCGTCCAGTTCGACAAGGCGAAGACCTACTTCGGCTTCCACAACGAGGTATTTCTTTTTCCCTATTTCTTTTTCTGCGCTCCTAACTCACCACACACCCAACACCCACCGCCGCATGCAGGTCCAGAAGAACGCCTTCGAGGACGCCTTCAACATCAACCCCAAAGGCATCCCACAGATCAAGCTGAACCACAACGGGACGATCTTCGTTGACAAGAACGGGTACGACTGGAAGGTCGGCTTCACCAACAAGAACATGACCATCTTTTGCGACAAGTGCCTCAAGTTGACCCCTCGGACCTCGTACTGCAAGCCCGTCAAGGACCGCATCATCCACCTTCAGCAGGCAGCCCCAACCCAAAAAGAAAAACACCCCCAAATAAAGAAAAACACTCCGACTCCTCTCACCCTGCGTACACAGATGGGACTCGTCGGCAACGAGACGCAGCTCATGTGCACCTGCATCGGCGTGTACCGCGGCGGCAAGAGGAACATGGCGTCGAAGGACGAAGTGGAGAGCAAGAGGGACGAGATCCTCCGCCGCAAGCGAGCCCGCCAGGGGGCCTCCTCCTCCTCCGACGCCGACATGCGGAACACAGCCTGACAACTAGTTACGGTGCTGAATAAGCACCAACTCCCACCCCGAGATCCAGATCTCACACTAGTACCCATCCAGAGAGGCACCCCCCTCGGCAACCCTCTCGGCATGAGAGGAGAGGCAGAGAGAGGACTCGTAATCGACGGGTTTGCTGAGATTCTAGAAGACGGGAGACCTCCGCTGGAGGTGGCGAGAGATTACACCCCTCCCCTTCGTATCCATCAAGGGACAGCGCGAGTCTCACGAGAGAACAGCGCAAGGAGATGCTGGGAAGAGTCCTCGCTCTGATGCTGCGAGGCAGACGCGTGGGGCTGGTGTGCGCATGCGCCCCCCTAGCATGCCACGGGGACGTTATCGCTGCCAAACTAGTGCGCATGTACTGCGACATCGCTAGCCCGTAGAAATTGTTAACAAAAAACACCCTTAAAACCCAAACGAAAGAGGGCGTAGTGTGTGTAGCACCGCTGCCAATGTCTGCCAGGGCGTCACACTGACAGCGAGAAGGAACTCACCAGTCCGATAAGGATCAACTGGAAAGCTGCTCCCTGGGCTTAGACAGAACGGGCGTGGCAGGCTCCAGGGGAGGCCACGCTCTACCCGGGGCGCTAAGGAGGGAAATCGAAGCTGTCGGGCGTCCAGCGAAAAAACTCGCGAGGACACACCGACAATCCCCCCTCCCCGAGGACCGAACCTAGGCACGTAGAGCACGGGTCATCTCGGAGAGAGAAAGGGGGGGGAAGAGGGGGGGGATAAGGGAGCCGAGATACGCGGGAGTACCCTGGGAGTGAGAGCTCTCATTCATGGTCGCGAGACCAGGGGAAGCCATCATGGGGAACGGGCACACCAAGGCACTAACTTCATCACTCATTCGCCCCGCATTAGGTAGCGACCCCAGGTTCAGAGCTTAGGCTTCCCGACAGGGCAGGGAACCCCCAGCGCGCAGGCGGGGCCCACGGTAGCCTCGTGCAGTACGCGATACCGAGAGCTGGGGGAGAGGCGCGCCACGCCAAGGGGGAGAGAATGGAGGGGGGAGAATATGCGTGCTCGTTTTTCTTCTAAAGCAATTTTTTTTCTGACTCTCGGGGCGCCCTCCTGGCAAAACTGGCATACACGTTTCTGGGATCCTGCGAGTGCGTCGACTGCGTGTGGCGCACATATACTGCTGACTCGTGACTGGCGCAGTTCTCTTGAGTTCGTCTACTTTCTTGTCCGCGCCGCGCCGTGTCCCTCAAATTCGACCATGCGACCAATACGGCTTTACCCCTCGAGCTATGCCGCCCCTACAGGTAAGTAAGGTGAGGTAAACTTTTCTATCCTATGTCGTATGCGTGAGGTATGTGCCCTATAAATAAATATAAAACGGCCAAACTCTGAGACGAGCCCTGTTCTGTGAGCTGTGTCGTGTGTGATCTGGGCGATGCTTAGAAGGGAAGAAGTTCTCATATATTAGAACGTGTGTGTTTTGCCGCGAGCCGCGAGCCGCGCGCGCGTCTTTGCCGTTTGCGGCGTCGTGGCGCGCGTTACAAAAACGCTCACAATGGACAATGGTCACTGGCTGCTAAGCGCTATCGGGTCAATACACGTCACCACGTCGAGTTGATGTTCGCATCCACGGGTCTCAACCACGCGAGTGAAGTCTCGCGCTCCTGTGCGTGGGCGACGCGCTCGAGCGCGAACGCCGTCGTGACCTGCGCGAGGAAGTCGGCCTCTCTCTTGCCGCGCGGACGCCACGCGATAAGGCACGGCGAAGAGAGAGCGGCGAGGACTGAGGCGAGCGCACCGTATGCAGCGGGCTGGTAGATGCAGTCGCACGCGACGACGAGGTCTGCGCAGGTCAGGGCGTCCGGCACGGCAGCGTCGGCCCAGTTGAGTGGCTGCACGGAGATCCGCTCGTGCCACGGCGACGCGGCGGCGTTTGACTTTGCGATCGGCAGCACCTCGGGCAGGTCGGTCAGGACGACAGTGGCGCCGAGAGCCGCGCACGCGATGCCACACACGCCCGTGCCTGCTCCCAACTCGACGACACGCTTCCCACGAAGACCATTCGGTGCGAAGGAGGTATCCAAATGGCGCACCGTGGCGTCCGCAGCCTCCCACACCACAGTGCCCGCGCCGGTCGACCAAGTCGTATGGCTGAGCGCGCCCTGCGAGATGTGCAACGTAGCACCGGCATGCGGCATGTGAAACTCGCGGCGGTCGAGCGTCTTCTCGCCACCAGTCTGCCATGCACCGTCCTCGTCGGACTCGCTGCTGCCGCCGGCCATTTTGCGGAAGCGCAAGCTGGTGACAGAAATCTAGCTTCGGCCACCGCGTCGGTAGCTGGAAGGGACTCGGGCTCGGGGAGCGGGGCGCTCTTGGGATAAAACTGAGTCGTCCTCCGGGATGAAACTGGCGTTGGCCAGACTGAGGACTATGGGCTGTTCTTCACCTTTCTACCTACCTACCTACTATTGTGCGGTTCCGATGGTATTTTTTGCGAGCGCA